CCCGCTCAAAGACCTGGTGCAGGAACCCAATGAGAAAGGCACCACCTGGCTGTGCTGTGTGTACCTGACAGGATGTGCTTTGCAACTCATAGGCTGAGAAATACAAATACAACAGCCAGCGGCTATCTTTAAAGATAATAAGATCATTTCCTTATTTCAAGACCCTGTCGAGCTTATCCAGGCACAGAGTGGAGCAGGTAGACGTAGTTGTCCCTGCACTCCGTTGCAGTGGCTATTCAGGCCTGGGGACTATTCACCCCCAGCATGAACCTCTTTTCATCAAGGGCTAAAGGTGGCTGGTGTACACTGAGGAAGAAGGGGAGCTACTATGGCGCTTAGGCATGCTCCAGTGAGTTTGCATAGCCGCCACTCCCATGGAACAGGGGCACAACTGGGAGACCCTGAAACAGGCCACCTTGCACCCAGATACCTTACAGATGTTTTTAAGGAGAGCCCATCATAAGCCAAACCAACTCTCCTGGCCCTGATGGCCACAGTCCCTGAAGTTAATTGAGCTCTGTAGGTCCTCACCACCCTGGAAAATGCTGCAACAGAACCATCCAACAGTGTTCACAGCAGCACCTTTCTCCCCACCCACCACCCAGGACCCTGCAGCCAGAGGTCTCACACTGGGCTCTGCTCTCCCTGGCCTTCCCATACCCATCACCTACTGGATGAGGCCCAGTCCAGCTGTTCCCAAGGGCAGAGTGACCTCTACTGGCAGTTACACTGAAGGGTGCTTTCAAATTGGCTCCTGTCTGACAAGCCTCATGAATTCCTGCAAACCCTCCTTAATATCAGTGTCGCCCAACCATCCCATCCACTGACCCACCACCCATCTGGATGGCTGAGCATCAACTTCCACCTTTGGGAAGATGCCTTCACTGCTAACATTCCTGCCGTGTGCCCAGGATGACCCAAAGACTGTCCCACCCATCCTGCTTATATCCCTCCCTGGCAAGAGTTTCACTGGTGTATTTATCTAGGGGTCTCTTGGGCCATCACTGTTTCTGCAGCCAGTGCCTCCTAGAGACATTTGGTGCCCCAGTTGTGCCTGGCAGCCATCTGGAATGGTCAACACCCTGAACTTTGGCTTCATCAGGCCATGTTCAAGATCATGATTTTAGATCTTTGACAGCACCTCAGCACACAGTGTCCCCAGACCTAATTGCTTAGTTCTGTATCCTCCTTATCCTTCTGTTCCATTTTCACATGTCATTGCTTTGCAATCAAGCAACTCCAAGCCTGCTACCACTGAGTCCGTTCAGCTCCTTTTACCTGCTCATGTAATCGTGTTTCCAAGCCCCAGTGTGCCCGTGTTCTTTTGCTGCTACTCCAGGTGGCCTGACTTGCCACATCCAAATGTGGCTTCTCCAGACCTATTCACCGATTACTCAGCACTGAGGTCACTGACAGCCTCCACCACATTTTGGCCACCCACTAAGCAGCCAACCTTCCAGCCTGCTGGGCACGCCTTCGCTGGCCTGCCACACATCCATTGCTTCCCGTCCAGACTTGGTCGCTACCTGTCCTCATTCTTCCCTCATCATTGGTGAGTCTGCCCCAAAGCCACAGCTGAGCCCCATTCTCATGAACTCCCCTGACTGCTCAGCTGGACACTAGATCTACTCTATACTCTCTGTGATGATACAGTTCAATTCCAGATTGTTCCGAGTGTGCCACCGACTCGTACTAACTGTCCTACAGAAGATCTGTTTCTCAAGATTTGACTGACCATGGAGTGCACTTTCAAGCTCGGGCAGCCTCTCAATTATTGACCCCCTCAGGGTCAGGGGTGGAGTGTGGTATACAGTGAGATGTATCATGGCTATACGATTAATGATAGGCATAAGGCCACTCAAGCAACTCACAGGGTCAGTCCTATCTGTCCGGTTGGGGATTTCCAACTGGATTTCCAAGAGATCAGGTTACCTCAGCATGATGCAACTTTCACAAACCTTAGATCAAAGGTTACCCTTACAAGCATAGCTTAATCTCTCTTTGTGAACAAAACACCTGGTAACTGACCTGGATTGAATACAAGTATAAGAAAGGAGAAATGATCCTCCAAACTCTGAGAATGGTCTCTAGATGAAAACCCTCCTGGTCTGTCAGTCATCTGACCGGTGACTAAATCTGTCCCACAACACCATCCTGCTCCTGCTATCCTTCTGGTGCTCTTAGCACTGCCAGAATAAAATGCATGGGCATCAGACGGTATACAAGACTCAACGATGATGCAAAGTGAACTTAAGGGGAGAGGCTTCCCTGGGAAGCTGGTTAACTAGGACCACCCAGAACATCCGAGGACAACAGGGTAGAATTCACTGACATCATGGAGGAGGTGGCTTTGTCACTGCTGGGCCATGGTGAAAGTCCCGATTTTCCACTAGGTCTCCTGTGACATTGCCAGCAGGGAGGCAAAGGGTGCCTCGTGATAGGCTGGGGGTATGGAATCTAGGCTGGCATGGGCATGGGTGGGGTGAATAGATTATTCTGTGGAATGGAGTGTTTGGGGTCTAAGAGTTTTCCATCTTCATAGGCTGCTCCTTTCCTGGCCCTGTGACTAGAGAGAGAACAGGACTTTATGAGGGGTTTTTATCTTATTTCATTTTTTTGCTTGTGTCTGTTGCCGTTTCGAGGCTAGCTGGCTTCTTTGACTCTCAGGCTGGAACACATGAAGCAAAAAGAAAATTCAGGGAACTCACACTGTACCATTCTTCAGGTCCAGGGTCCCTAGTGGGCTGCCTTCTTTCCACCTTTCAGAGTCGTCTTATGTTTATTTTATATGGCATGTCAGGATTTTTAATTTTATTAGCAGGAGGAATAGAGAAATGTATGTTTATCTTCTCAGAAGTAGAAACACTTCATTGAAATTTTTTTTTTGGTTTATTTACCTGAAGGGTCTTCCACCTCCTGTGGCATTTGCTCTTCTGATTAGAGAGCATTTTTGTGTTGGAAAACTCCCTCGTGCTCCTGTGGAGCTGTGGGCCTGGAGAGGACAGACCAATCTTTAGAACAGTGTCTTCTTCCTGAACTCTGTGGTCACCTCACTGTCTTTAGCATACGGGCCTTGGCATAGACTTCTCTGACTGCAACACCTTCCTCTCTACCTCGTCCACTGCCTAAGCCTTAGTTATTCTTCAGTTTTCATTTTAACACTTTACTTATTTAAAGAGACTTTTCCTGTTACCTGGATACGTTTGCATTCCCTTCTGCTAAATGTTTCAGGAGCACCTTGTACTTTCTTTATCATCTCTTGTCAAACTTTATTGCAGTTATTTATCTAATGTCTGTTTTACTGAATAGCCTGTAATCCATGAAGGTGGGGAAGATGACATTGTTGTTCAACCGTCTATCAAATATCTGGTGCCTACTGCAGTGCCCAGGACAAAGCAAGACATTAACAACTTTAGCTCGAATGTTAACTAATCATGTAGTTAGGCTCATAAATATCCTATTATCCGATCACCGTAAGTGCTCCCTGAAATTTCCCTGGCCACTTGGGCTGCTCCTCTGGGATCCTGGACCTCCTGTTGACCTAGAAACTTAAAGGCTAATACTGGCAAAGTAGGGGTCCTCCAGGATCTTTTTCAGTCCTAAGGCTTGGGGCCATTCTGGTTGGTTGTTGCTTAGGGCATACCACCTGTTAAAATAGTTTGATCTCATCTCTGGTTATATGAGTGAATGAATTAGATCCAGAGCTCCAAGCCTGTCCAGCACTCCTAAACCATAGCCAGTCATACAGAATGTGCTTTCTTCATAGTCTGCATTAGTGCCTGGAGCTCTTATTGTGGTTGATTCCCCTTTTTCCATATATCAGCTATGGCCTGATTATATACAATGACATGTTCTAGCAGAGTCATCATAACTCCAAGCCAGTTCATCCTTGCTTCATCTCCAGCCAAGGTCTTCTTTCCTCTTCTTTCCTCTTATAGATCTTTTTGGGGTATCTTCCTTATGTCTCCAAAACTGCTCACAGATCACACAGTCATAACTTGCTTTGTGGGTCATATGACCTCTTGCAGTGGAGTCTGTCTCCCTTCTGACTGTACTCTGTGTAAACTGACTCAGGATCACATCCTTGAGTTCACATCATTTTAAACACTAGTTCTCCTCTCTACTTGGTACCACCTCTTTTTCTTCTTTCATGAAGTAGGCCTATTTAAAACAACAGCAACAATAACAACAAGCACTATTTCCTCTAATATTTCCTTGACATGATATTTTCTCTTTGATTCGTTCATTCTGTTCTATTAAAACCCTCTCCTCTCTGGGCAAACCAGTGATTCCCTGCTCTTCTTTTATGGTTCTGTCCATTCTTAAGAACTGGGCATTTGATTATTGGGATCATATATCTCTTGGAAGCTTCATTTAGTTGCATTACCTCATGCGATGTTTGCACTGTAAAACTTTTTCACTATCCTGGATTTGGTATCTCTACATCAAAGCAGAGGTTGCAGTTATCTGATTAGATTTTAAATCTATTTCTATATGATTTGATCAGTCTTTTAAAAATCATATTTATCATTCTAGCTTCATCCTTAAGGAACCAAATCAGGAATGGCCAACGGGTTTCATCCTCCTCTCTGGTCACATAGTAGTACTTGTCCACAGTTTTGAGAGGATTTTGAGATGATCAAAGCACAAAGGAGTGCTGTGATTTATAAACATCTGCAAGAGCAATGCTAAGAGGAGAGGTATCATTCATGATTTATACATTCATATAGGCACTCCCATTGTCTCAGGCCTCTTTATCTTCTTTGTGTTGTGTGGCCTTTTTTGAGGCTACCTGTAGAAACAGATGGATACTTGAGACTGAGACGCAGAAACTTGTAAGTTGTAATGATGTCTTTTCCAGTGACAAGGCTATCATGACTAAAACTATGATTTTCAGAAGGAGGCTGAATACTTTAAATCATTATCCTGATGAAATGACTTTGAAATATTTTAGTTTGGATTTGAGATTGCTAATTTCTGACGTTGTATTATTTTTGTAGGCAGCACTCAGCATATTTGGTATGGTTGGTGGACCACTTATGGGCCTGTTCGCTTTGGGCATTTTGGTTCCCTTTGCCAACTCAATTGTAAGTACAAAGAATGAATATGTGTGAGGATTACTTTTTGAACTATACTAGCAGCTCTACACAGTTTTCTCGGTTGTAAAGATATGGTTCCTTTGAGATTTGTCATTAGCTACTTGTCTTGATGACTTAAATTATTTCTATTGACTTTAGTGGAGTATACAAGGAAGTACTATGTATAGGGACCCTAAAAGTGTGAAGTTCAATGGAAACTTCCAGAACCACATAGGGCAATTTTAAATATTCATAATATAACTAAAGGAGCAACATTTTTTTGTGCACTTACCGACTTGCCCTTCTCAAAAATTAATAGCTAGGATTTAAAAGAGATCAATAGGCTCAGATATGAGCGATTTAAGGGCAGTAAAACTTAGGATTTCTGTGAATAGCCATAGCACAGCAAAGAGATGCAACACAATCTTACCACCTTGGCCAGGAATTTTCTACTCCTGACATTTAAAGCTGTAGCTCCCACAACATGATTTAGCCCCAAAGGGATGATCATAATTGGGAATATTTTCCAGAAAGACATAATATCTCTGTCCTTCTACCTAGACATATCTGTGCTTAGAAGTGCTAACGTTTGTTTGGAATAAATGAGCTAGAAATTATTTCTCTGAAACCCAGAAGAAAGTCCACCGTTCCAGTCTGGCTATAAGATGTAGTTCAGGAAAAACTGATAATGTATGTACAGTTGCTTCATATATAGAATAGCCATTCAACTCTGACTTCACATTTGGAACTCTATTTTCCTTATAAGGCATTAGGAATTGGTAAGGCAGATATTAATAAGGACTATTGTGGTTATTATTTATTATCCTCAATGAAATGTCATATGAAAAGCTACTTTTGTAGGAATTAATCACAATGAAAGAGATTTGTTTATGTCCACCTCAGAATGTTGAAGCTTGGATTAGACTCTTTGCATGATGAAATGCATTAGTTTGTTAAGTATCAGAAAAGTGTATTTAAAAATCAACTTTTGATATTTGGCATTTGTTGCCAGCATGCATTTCCTCCAGAAGAGCTGTAGCTGACTAAGCTAACATGCCCTTTTCTGGGGGCGGTAATGGGAGAATAACATACTATTTATCCTGCCGTGAACAGTATCTTTTTTTTTTTTAAACCATGTCCAGGTTTTTCACTAGCAGATTATCTGCCTTCCTTCAAAGTGGGCTTTCTCACTCCTTTTACCCTCCCTGCCTCACTACCTTTCATTCATTTATTCACTTGTTCATTTATTCAATAAATTTTTATGGGCTGAGCACTGTCTTGGGAGAAGCGAGCACTGAATGTTTCTGCCCTTGTGGGTTTTATAATTTTGTGCCATGTTGAACTTGGCTTTCTAATATTAATTTTGACATCAAAGCAAATTGTATTATTTTTCTTTTAAAAGCATTCTTGTTTTACAGGGAGCACTTGTTGGTCTGATGGCTGGATTTGCTACTTCTCTGTGGGTTGGAATTGGAGCGCAAATGTATCCTCCACTTCCTGAGAGAACGTCGCCGTTGCAGCTTGATATCCAAGGCTGTAACAGCACATACAACGAGACAAATTTGATGACAACCACAGAAATGCCATTTACTACTAGTGCTTTTCAAATACACAATGTTCAAAGGTATTGAATTAAGTTTTATTACATTATACTTTAAAAAATGTATGCAACAAGTAGAGAACTCCAGTTGTGTTTTGTCTTGCTTACAACACTGTGACTTTGCCTAATTCTGGAATGAGTAAAACCCGTGTGGCTAGCTATACTATTTTCTGCAGCAGTAACAAAAAATGTCATATTTTCATAATTTTTCTAGACATTTCTGCCTTATCTACAGATGTGAGGAAACTTAAATATTAATGAGAAAATTCTATTATGTGTAAACTCTCCTAAACACCAGCTCTTAGCTACACAAGAATTATCGTTGTCTTGGAAAAACTTTTAAAATGGAAAACACAATTATAAATAAATATTGCTTATGTAGTCTTTGAAGGATAGATTTTACTGACCACAAGCTACAATTATTTAAACATGTTAAATAATTGCCATTTGTTCAGTTGAAGATTCCAAATCTTTAAAGCACTAGCAGTGCTTGCAGCTGTGATCTTCATGCTTGATTTCAGTCGTGCAGTACACTTTGGAGCCTCTAGATGCTGAAGTTGTCTGATTTAACGTAATGATGTAGACCTGTGGGGAGAGGCATGCTTTACTGTATAGTGCATGTGAGGGCAGGACTTTCTTTAGTGGATATATAAATGTCCAGCCTTAAAGCACAAACCCTGTGGATATGTTCGAGGAATGCAAAGATGATGCCATTGCCCCCAAAATATTGCCCCAGTGCCAGCTTATCTGGAATGACATCATTATAGAGTCATCCGTTTGGGGTTAAGACACAGCATACCCCTCTTAAAATGGACACAGTCCTGGGAGAAGGAACATGATCATACATATAGCCATTGTTAGCAATTCGTGTTCCAGAAGGAATTCAGCTATGAGAAAGCTAGCCAGTGGGACTTCCAGGGGCGTTCCAGGCAGGTAAGCTCTATATGGTTGAGTGAAAAGGTAGTTCCAGAGCCTGAGGCATATTTGAGGGAAGTTTTACTAGGTGAGGTGCAGTGTAGAGAGGGGCAAGGACATGTGGGGAGCAGTCTGGACAGGCATGAAAGCACTAATGAGAGGGGACTGGGAGAGTCATTAAAGTCAGAAAGGGAGAAAAGATTAATTGAAGGTTAAGTGAGAAGACATACAGGATGTACTTCTTGTTTTACCATTTTGCTTAGCATTTTCCTAATTATGTAAATATTTGCCCTTAAGAGTCTAAGGCAAAATGGTTATTTGGATTCCTGGAAGAAATAAATTAGCTGAAGTTTATTCTATGCCTGGTACCATAATAATCAGTTTTACATGTTAGTTTACTTATCAAATATTTCAGCTTAATAAACAGGAATTTTTGAGCATGGACTATGTACCCAGCCCTGTGCTGACCGTTCATTTAGTATCCATGGAAGAAAATCTTTCTCTCCCAGCCACTGTTTCCTGCCTTCCAGAAAAGTCTAATCTAGCTGGAGGGAATGTGCAAAACAATAAACTCAGTAAGCATGCTAAGTATAAAAACTAGGACATAGTAAATAATAAATACTTGATACATTTTTGTTAAAAGAGTGAGTACAAAGTTGGAGTGTAAGTTAGCATTAAGACTTCAGAGATGTACTGCTACTTCAAGAATGCATAGGTTTGGCTAGATGAAGGGGAAGATCTAGAAAGTTATTCTTGTCACCAGAAGGGACATTGGACAAGAAAATAAATTAAAACATGCATTGTGGTAAGTAATATTCACAGGGTATCATGGGAGCCAGAAGGAGGAAGTCTACCTGACTGGAGTCAAGGAAAGCTTCTTAGAGGAGAATTGCATGGGCTGGAGTTAGTCAGGTGGCGGGATTGAGCACAGGGACACACGGAGGGAGGAGTATGTGTCACAGAATGAAGAAACGACAGGTGCAAAGGCTTGAAGGACTGAAGGATCAGGGCATCTTAGAAAAATCATCCTAGTTCCGTATGGCTGGAGCACAAGGGTTGTGAGTCACCCAGCTGTAGGTTGAATGTGTGATCCTTTGGTTGCCTAGATACAAATTGTTTCGATTGCCTAGATTCAGTATTGATTTTTTTAAGTTTCCAGTATTTGATGGTTACATTGGTAGCTTGCTGTGGTTTTAATTTGTGTTTCGCTTATGATTAATGAAGTCAAATGCATTTTCATTTGTTTGTTGGCCATTTGGATATCTACTTTTGCTACTTAGTCCATTTGAAATGGAGTTTTTAGTACATTTGAAATGGATTCTCTGTCTTTTTCTTATTTACACAGGAGTTCATGATGTATTCTAGATATGAGATATGTTTTGAAAATATTTTTCTCCCATTCCATGGGTTGCCTTTTTACTCTTTTAATGATACTTTTTTTTTTGTCAGTCAAAATCTCTTAATTTTAATTGATATCTGTTTCTCAGTTTTTTCCTATATAGTTAGTCCTTTATGTGTCTTGTTGAGAAATCGTTGTCTATCCTGCAATCATAAAGATATTCCACTAATTTTTCATTTAAAAGCTTTATTGTTAACCATTTCCATTTGGGAAGTGTAATCCACTTTGGAATTGATTTCTGTGGGTGGTGTGATCAAGATTATTCTTCCCCATGTGGACATTCGGTTAACCAAACTGAATTCAAACTTATTGAAAAGACTCCCCTTTGGCCCGCTGAATGTGCTGGTGATGAAAACAATGTTAACCAAGTAACTATTTTTCTGTGGATCTATTTCTCAATTCTTTAGTCTGTTCTATTTTGTCTGTCTTTGGCTCAATATCACACTCTCTTAATTTCATTAGCTCACCTCAATGTGTTCCCCTTCTGTCTGGGCTCTTGACACCTCAAGTTCTCATTGTTTTGTTTTTGTTTTTGTTTGAGACAGAGTCTCGTTCTGTTGCCCAGGCTCTAGCTCAATGCAACCTCCACCTCCTGGGTTCAAGTGATTTTTGTGCCTCAGCCTCCCAAGTAGCTGAGATTACAGGCATGTGCCATGACTCCTGGCCAATTTTTGTATTTTTAGTAGAGATGGGGTTTCACCATGTTGGCCAGGCTGGTCTCGAACTCCTGACCTCGGGTTATCCACCTGCCTTGGCCTCCCAAAGTGCTGGGATTATAGGCGTGAGCCACCGCGCCCAGCCAAATTCTCATTGTCTTGATCTCGCTGATATCTTCAAAAACCTGCCTCCCTCCCCATGCCCCAGGTTTTATATGTTGTTCTCAGCAGAATGATTGGTCTGAATCAAGTAGCTGTCAAAACTGAAAGTGGAATCCTAGAGCAATCATTGTAGAAATGATCATAGAATTTTCATGTTACTCTTTCACTTAAAACATTGCAATGAGTGCCATTGCCTGTAGAGTAAAATTCCAACTCACGTCCAGTCCCACAAAAAGTCCCGGCCTATCTTTCATCTTGTAATCACTGTCTTCTCACTGTGCCTCAGTCAGCTTGTGTTTAGTCTCTGAGATGCTTTCCTCGAGAACATCTGAGAACATTTCTTAGATCTCAGTTCAAATGTCACTTATTCCCAAAGGTTTTCTCTGACCACTTGTAGGGTAGTTCCTCCCTCTCCATCCTGTTAATAGCAAATCATTTTGTTTTATTTTCCTTACAGTGCTTTCTACTAGTGGAAATTATTATATTTATTAATTTGTTTATTGTATTTATCTCTCCATTAGAATATACACTTTATGTGAGCAGGAATCTTATTTACCTTATGTTTAAAAAATAATTTCAGCTTTTATTTAGATACCTGTGCAGCTTTCTTACTGGGGTAAACTCTCGCCTCTCTCCCTTCAACCTCTAGTCATCCCCAGTGTCTATTGTTCCCTTCTTTGTGTCCATAAGTACCCAATGTTTAGCTCCTACTTATAAGTGAGAACATGTGGTATTTGGTTTTCTGTGCCTGCATTAATTTGCTTAGGATAATGGCCTCCAGCTGCATCCATGTTGCTGAAAGGGACGTGATTGTGTTCTTTTTTTATGGCTGCATGGTATTCCATGGTGTATATGAACCACATTTTCTTTTTTTTTCTTTTTTCTTTAATTTTTATTTATTTTTATTTTTTTACCCTTTCTTTTGTTTTTGTTATACTTTAAGTTCTAGGGTACATGTGCACAATGTGCAGGTTTGTTACATATGTATACATGTGCCATGTTGGTGTGCTGCACCCATTAACTTGTCATTTACATCAGGTATATCTCCTGATGCTATCCCTCCCCCCTCCTCCCATCCTATGACAGGCCCCTGTGTGTGATGTTCCCCTTCCTGTGTCCAGATGTTCTCATTGTTCAGTTCCCACCTATGAGTGAGAACATGTGGTGTTTGGTTTTCTGTTCTTGCGATAGTTTGCTGAGAATGATGGTTTCCAGCTTCATCCATGCCCCTACAAAGGACATGAACTTATCCTTTTTTATGGCTGCATAGTATTCCACGGTGTATATGTGCCACATTTTCTTAATCCATTGATGGACATTTGGGTTGTTTCCAAGTCTTTGCTATTGTGCGTAGTGCCACAGTAAACATACGTGTACATGTGTCTTTATAGCAGCATAATTTATAATCCTTTGAGTATATACCCAGTAATGGGATGGCTGGGTCAAATGGTATTTCTAGTTCTAGATCCTTGAGGAATCACCACACTGTCTTCCACAATGGTTGAAGTAGTTTACAGTCCCACCAACAGTGTAAAAGTGTTCCTATTTCTCCACATCCTCTCCAGCACCTGTTGTTTCCTGACTTTTTAATGATCACCATTCTAACTGGTGTGAGATGGTATCTCACGTGGCTTTGATTTGCATTTCTTTGGTGGCTAGTGATGATGAACATTTTTTCATGTGTCTGTTGGCTGCATAAATGTCTTCTTTTGAGAAGTATCTGTTCCTATCCTTTGCCCACTTTTTGATGGGGTTGTTTGTTTTTTTCTTCTAAATTTGTTTGAGTTCTTTGTAAGTTCTGGATATTAGCCCTTTGTCAGATGAGTAGATTGCAAAAATTTTCTCCCATTCCATAGATTGCCTGTTGACTCTGATGGTAGTTTCTTTTGCTGTGCAGAAGCTCTTTAGTTTAATTAGATTCCATTTGTCAATTTTGGCTTTTGTTGCCATTGCTTTTGGTGT